TCCCGTGATCCTGAGAAGTACCTGAAACACATAACACATAACATGGTAAGCACGAAGCTTAGTGAGTTCCCCAAAATACCACACACAGCTCGTTAGCCACTCTAGGGTATAGCTCAATAAGACCCTTCGGTCAATGTGTCACAGTGGGACCCTTTGGTCCCAACTCAATAAGCTCATAATAACAATACTCAGCATAATTCACAAGACATGATGCAAAATATTAAGGTACACAGTTAAGCACAATAAACATCTCAATCACACAAAGGTACCAATCATGGTAAGTATAGTGAGAAGACTCACCTCGTAAGCTATCAAGTAAAAGTCGTGTACTCGGAAATCTCGAACTAGCCTCCGGCTAACACATAGGATAATCATTTATAATTAATACTCTACTTATACTCAAATATACCAAAGGTTGCACTCTCTCTCTCTCTCTCTCTCTCTCTCTCTCTCTTTCTTGGAATGGGTAAAAGACCATTTTACCCCTCCCTGGTCTCCATTACTCATATTGACCAAACCCTAAAGTCAACTCGAGTTAACAGTCCAAGTTTGACCCGACTCGCCGAGTGCATCTATGCGACTCGTCGAGTCCAACTGTTTTCCTCAGGAGTGTCATGAAAGGTCCAACTCAGCTCATCGAGTTGACCCCCAACACGTCGAGCTTCCGCATGATCAAGCTCATCGGGACAAACCCTAACCGACTCGTCGAGTCAGGACATGGACTTGGCGACTCTATTCGATCTGATTTCTCATTCAGACGTTTTAAGGCAGATCTATCACTCCAAACACTAGACCTACCATCCTAAGGCTCGATTGTCACGTAAAGCTTCGATCTTTACGCTCATGCATGGTGGTTTTGCTCCAATCTACCAATACATGTTCTCACAAGATGTTAAACACCATACTCCTCATATGAATGAATAAAGTTGGGACCTTTGGGCTCTAGGGACCTCACAAGGTCCAGATCTGAGGTTTAAACCTCTTGATAACTTAGTACGCTCAAAGTCCTAAATAAAATGTGATGAAAACCCTAATCTCTCAAACTCATGAGATCTAACCAAATAAAGGGGAAAGGTTCAAGATTTTTACCTTCCTCTTGAAGCTCTGGACAAAATGGCCTGAACCCCAATAGCTCCTTCTTGTTTCTTGCTGAATAAGCTCCTCTTCCTCCTCAAAGATGCACTAAAATCCTTCAAGGTTAGCTTGGAGACTCTTTTAGCTCACTACACTTGTTTAGGGTTTCACACAGTAGGGTTAAGCAGCTGATGAGCCACAAATGAGGCTATAAGTGTCCTTATATAGGCCCCAAACCCGGGGATTTAGGGTTTCTCTTCACAGCATCTACTCGGCGAGTCGACTCTCTGACTCGTCAAGTAGATCATTAATCCCACGTGGCACATCGCGACTCTACTCGACGAGTTGTAGCACCAACTTGTCGAGTTGCCCAAAAGTCCTCGAAATAAATAAATAGATAATATACCTGGAAGTCCGGATGTTACAGATACCGATCCCAAAAAAACCGGACCGTTTGAGACCGACACAAAACCAGTCCGAGACCGACCCGAGACCTGTTTGACTGATCTTAAAAGAGACCGGAAGCCAAAGTTTATAAATATATCATTTTTGTGTTAATTACATAATTTTAATCACACACTATCTAACTTATTAAACTTTAGTGTATCATTATTAATAAAGTTTAATCTATCATTTTGGTGTTAATCACACATTTGTTAAGGAAAAAATTCGAAACCGAAACAAAAAAAAACCAACAAATACCGAAACTGGACCGAAAAACCCCGAAAACCGACTGAAAAAACCCGAAAACAGAATTGAAAAAGGCACACAGAAAGACCACGACCAGTCCCAAAAAATATCGGTCAAAAGAGACCGGTCTGAAAATAGACCAAACCTAAAAAAGACCGGCAGGAGACCGGACGAGACTGATCCAAAAAGAAAACAAACCGCTCCGAAACCGACCACAAAAAAACCGAACCATTTCGAGACCGAGCTAATACCTGTTCGGGACCGCAAATGTGCAAGTCTATGTCGAAGATTTAGCAGCCCAAATTTGTGAAAAGAATCAGCTCATATAGATGATGTAAGAGGCTGAAATATGGCAGCCCACGTTGGATATTTAAATCAGAGCAAATGTCTTTTCATCTAGCATAAAGGCCCATGATGTTTATTTCAGCCCAGTATTGAACTTTGTTTTTTAATGCCCATCCATTGAGGTGAAACTACGAAAGATGGTAGATTAAAAAAAAAGGATCAGATATAAAACATATACCACGCAAACATTTTTTTTTTCTTTTGTTGGGGAAGAAGGTTCGAAAGAGGAGGATATCCATATGTAGGGTTGTTCACTGTTTAGTTAAAATCGAATTGTCCAATCGAACAATTTGGATTCGACTATTTAGTTCGGATATTTGGGTTTTTTGATTAATTTTAAGGTAAACCGAATTATTATTTTGGATTTCAGATTGGTTTTGGTTTATGATATAATAACCGAATAGTCCAAAAAAATTGAATAATAACTTATTATTTTATTTTTAATATATAGCTTTAATCATTTATAAATTTAATAAATTGTTTTTTTAATTATTATAAACTTTCATCCAGTATAATACATTAATATGTACTTATCAAAAGTTGTTTATCAATGAAATATTAAATTATAATCAAATTTTCTTAATAACTTTTTATAAATTATAATTCATAACTAAAAAGTTTTTTGGTTACTTTTATAAAGGTGGCTAATATTTAAGTAATATATTTTTTAAAATGTTTTACCCCTTAAAAACTGAATTGTGAAAACCGATCAAACCGAATTGTAATTTGGTTGGATCGGATCGGATTTGAATTTAGTTTGGACTATTCAGATTCATGTTTTGAAAACCGAAATCTATTTGGATTTACTTGATCGGATTGGATCAAACTGATCTATCCAAACGAACACCCTTATCTATATGATACACAAAGTTTTGTTTTATCACGTTGAAAGAGAGGAAGCAAGAAGAGAACGGGCAACTTGAAGTTTATTTTAGAGTTTTCACATTAAAATAACCTTTAACAATCTTCCAACAGTAAGCTCAATTTGATTTTGTAGTTTTCGGTCGCTTAGTCATTTTAAATGGCTAAATCACTGATATCAACATTCAGTTTATAATCATGACTTTTTATTTGCTATTGAAGTTTATTCATGATGTTTATTTTTCCTTTTTTATCTATATAATTTCCAATAGAAAAATTAATTTTGTTGTCCTAATTATTTTTGAATTTGATCACCTCAATTATGGTTTAGATTATTAAATTGTTATGTTGATTGTTTGGTTATATAATCAATCATGTAATTGACTAAAGTAGCATGTTATATCAGTAACTTCATAATAAATGTTTATTGACATTAGGAAAATGACTTATAATGGTAACAACAAGGGCGGATCCACAATAGATCTCGCGATGCCCTTCAAAAAAATTTCAGTATTGTAATATTTTTAGAAAAATTTCGTTTTGTATAGTGTATATATACATTATATTAATATGTTTAGCGAGATATGGACACAAGTTGTAGTTGGTTTAGATGGTTAAGCCATTAGAAAGTGTTACTGGAAGTTGCAAGTTCAAAATTTCTTTCAAACATTAATTTTCTTTTATTTTTAGTTCAAATATTCTTTCAAACATTAATTTTCTTTTACTTTTGCAGCTTCTTTTATATAGTTTTATACGGATTATACCTATTATATTATGATGTTGTGAAATTAAATATAAGTATTGAGTTATCCAAGTGATAAAGAGCTTAACTTTTAACTTTGAGGTCCTTATTTTGAATCTTGACCTTTATACGAGTGTACTTTATTTTGTTTATCTTTTTTTCAACTTGTTTTTTAAAATTCTAAAAATATCATACATCGGTCATAACATAAAACATAGCTCTTATATATCTGTTATATAAACAACACAAATTTCTCAATTTTCAACAAGTTAAACTTTCGAATGGGTTTGGGTTTAAATCCGAAACCGAGTATGGAAAACCGAGAAAACGAATCCATCGGTTTGGGATACCTTTTTACTTTGACCCTAACTCCGCCACTGAGTAACAAAATATCATAATCGTATAAAAATAACATTTAACTTTTTTTTTGTCTACACGTATTACCAACTAACTATAACATTTATATATAGACCATTAAACTTTCTTTTTGTACAAAAATTATCATTGTGTTACGGGTAACTAAACAAACTCCAAAGCTACCATTTTTGGTATTCAGTCCAATCTAGTTGTACCCAAATTTTCTTGGATTCCCATGATCGTTTGTTCACCATTTAAACATGTATTATTTTCAATTAAAATTATTATTTTGTTTACATCAAATTGATGATGCGATATACTATCAAAAAGGTAACCATCGTATGTTCAACATAAATTTGTGAACTACATCCAAACTAATTGGCAAATAAATAATGCAATGCGCGAAAAAGAAAACTAGGAAGTAGGAACAAATACAAGTCGTTGAAAAATAAGTTTTATTTGACAACACGGAATCATTATTTCAATTTTTTAAATTATATGAGAGTTATTGCTCTAGTATTATAAAATTAAATAAATAAAATAATATGTAAAATAGTTTACTGTATTATCTTATGTTTTTATGATAATTAAAAATAGGGTTATTGCCACTGTATTGCAACAATGTTTAGTATATTAGTTTAAATGGTCCCTCGTTATTTTTTTTTCCTTTGAAATGTATGAACTTGTGTTTTACCGGTTAATTTTATACATTTACCTATTTTTGAAGGTTACAATGTCTTGTCAACTACCAACTAAGCAGGTGAGTCAACAATGACTCAGTGAGACTTAGTGGTGAGTCAACTCTTAGTTGCCACGTGTCCCTAAATACTTGTCTTCTATACATCCCGCACTATCTTCGTTTCTAATTTTAATTTTCATAAATATCCCCAAAATCTTGAAAACCTGCATCAACTAAAATATTGAAAACACGCTATCTTCGGTGAAGGAGGTGGAGAGGGCTGTAGCGGTGGAGGGAGGTGGTTCCCCGGAGGCTATATGTATAGATGACGACAATACCCGGTATTCGAGGGACTAGATCTTGTTTGATTATGATCCATAGTGCTTTGATGCCTCTGTGGTGGTGTTCATCCCTGAATGTGATGTTTTCGACTCTAGGTGCACCGAAGGAGATGACACTTATCAGAAGAGTTGGAAACCTCATGGCGGCGTACGTGTTTAGTAAAGCTAACGTGCCGCCCAAGTTGTGGCCGATGACCGTGAGACTCACTTGTTCGCTGGTTGATTTGTAGAACTTTGTTAATCGTTTTATCTCTTCAATTACTTGCTCCGATGCAATGGTTTTGTTGTATCGTGTTGATATACGCTTCTGATAGCTTATTTTATTTCCTTATTTTTATTAGTTTATTTTAGATTTTTAGCTCTTTTTATTAGTATTGCATTGTATATTCTATATTTTCTTCATCATGGATCGTATCGGGGACTTTTTATTTTGCATGAGGAATTTTGCAGGGTTTTGGAGCTTATCGCAATTGTGGATTAGAGTGAAGACGGACTTGTGGGCTCTCGAGGCGCTATTGGGCTTGGCGGATCCACTAAAG